AAGCAGTTTAATGACTCTGGTTCTCTAACTATTTAGTGATTTGAATGCTGTCAAAGACGATAGCAGACATAAAGCAAGTTGTACCTACCACTAAAGAAATCAGAAAATGCAGGGCAGAGACTTTTTGTTAGAAGAAATCTCCTTGTTACTTTTATTCGCCAAGGATTCCACTCAAAATGATCTAGTGAATATTTAAAGTTGTCTACAGTTCCTACTAAACACATGCGACAATATCAAAATTCTGGAAGCGGTGTTAAACCACACCAGCTCTGATAAAGATGTTTTTGTGGTCTTTACAGATCGATAAAAAAAAAAGATAAAAAATTACAAGAATTGTCAAATGCTTCAACAGTTCCTATCCAGAAGATGCTGTAAGGGAGGATTTCTCTTTTCCAAAAGAAGACTACAATTAGATTAAAATTATTCATGGGTACAACTACTACATCATTATGGATTTTCTTTTGGAATTCAAGAAGTCTTCACTCTAAGCGCCCGGAATCAATCTTAGTTAATTATGACTTCTTTATCTTCATTGAAACTGACTCACAAGGACAATTTTAGCTTTTCAGGATTTATAGGAAGGACAGAACCCATTCAAAGGTGGTAAAATTCTAATCCGTAAATAGGTGGCTTTCAGGCAAATTACTAACATCAAATCTGACATCTCAGTTGAACTATGCAGTCTTTGTTTAAATAATGTAAAGCTAAAACTGATGTATTGTCTGTTTTAGAACTCCAGGCCTTACTTTCACACAAAGATCAATAAGATCTAATTGTTCAAAATATTGACACTAAACGCAATTGCATTCTAGTAGGTGATATTAACGCTCGTCATTTTAATTGGAATTGCTGATAGCGATAATGAAAGATTTCATAATACCTTAGAAACCATTGATCTTTTACTATGCAATGACAACTTTTATATATATATATATATTAATGTACACAAAAATTTTAAATTCAATATTGATCAACTTTGAATATTTGTAATAAAACTGATACTACTGTGTATAATGAGAGAAAAAGTTTTTTAAGCTTAAATCGAATTGTACTGACTGGCCAAAATTTTTCCATCCTCTAGAGAACATATTACATAAATTTCTTCACTAATGATTGTGATCCCTTGTCTTCCACTGGTAAATACGAATTTTTGATTAATATTATCACTGAAAGAGTCAAATCCAATTTATTTCTAAAAGTCCTCCTAAAAAAAAATTTATTAACTTTTCTGGAAAAAATGAAAAAAATCTAGGACTAAGCTCAAAAGACTTTTTGTAGAATCTCTTTCAGGAAATGATAGCATTCGTGCAATTTGGAAGATTTGATTAGTTATAAAACAATTTTGGCTCTTACTAGAAAAGCTTAAAAAAAGATAACTTCACAGAAGTCAATTTTTACCCTGATCCAAAGTATATTGTAAAGTCTTTACAAATAAAGAATATAAAATCTTTAAAAATAAATGAATCAAAATTATTTTTTCTCACTCAGAAAACCTGCAATCTAATGATCTTCTGGAATCTGTCTTATATAAAATAAACTCTTCACAGAACCAATTATACCCATCCAACTTCCCTGTTTGACCTCTCAATGATTTCCTTGCTTTTCATCTTAACTTTCCCAAGTTCAACATTGCTTTTGATTCTAAGAATATCAAATCAGCTACAAGTATGGATGGATTGATATCTTAAAAAATTTCCCACAAAGTACAATAAAATTGGTAATTTACTCCCAGCAGCCAGAAAACGGCTTTAGAAAAGGTAAATCATTTGTTGACAATTTGACAAATCTTGTTCTGAAGCTAAATGAAGTCTTTAGGAACTGTCAACAAGTTCTGGCATTTCTAGATATCCAAAATGCGTTCAACAATGTAAATCTTTCAATCATATTGATTAAGCTCACCTCTCTTGGTTGTCCTTCTAAAACCTTAAAATTTGTAAAGTTTCTTACCCGAGTAAATTATGTTCTCAGATCAAATACTAAATAAACTCAGATATGCTTTCAAAGATATTTCACAAGGCGGAGTTTTAAGCTTTCTTTTACACATCTTCGAAAATCGCTGAAAATGTACAAAAAGCAGTTTTTATCTCTCAATTCGAAGAAGATATTTACATCAAATCTCATCCTTGAAAAGAATCTCAAACTCCTTCGAAGAAGCTATCAGTTCTATTAGCAAAAATCTTTCCAACATTGGTCTTCAACCTACTCCTAGTGAAACTGCCCTCCTTCATTTCAGCAATAAAAAACTATCACCAGGCAAGGCTGAAATAAGACAATTCTATTATTAAACCAAGATAATTAGCTCGCTTATTTTCTAATTTGTCCTACAGATATAGCTGTAATAAACTTCAAACGAACTTTCCAAAGTTTAAAAAGAAAAAAAAAGCATAGTCCAGATATCACTAGACCAGTACACTTAACATGGAATGTATTTTTTATTTCATGTTCATGGGGTCTTAGAATCCCATTACTATTTTCATGCTACATGTTGTATAGATTTCCATGAGTTTTCCAAGTTTTTACAGCACTGCTAATGAAAATCAAAAAATATAGATAGTGTTGTTGTATCTGCTACGAAAACAATTTATTGTAATACACTGATACTTTATCAGTAAAAGAATATAATAAGAATATGAAATATAAAGAATATAAAAAAGATATAACGATTATAATAAAAAATTTATTATATATTTGATTATTTACATGTGTTTAAAAGTATATAGAGAAAATTGATTGAAATGTACTTTTATTTTATTTTATATTTTATATAAAGGATTGGACGTATCAAATAAATATTTCCATAAATATTCTTACTTTTTATTCTGAGTTAGTTTCGTTATTTGATATAGACTAGAGATTTTATTTTTTATTCTGAGTTAACGTTCAAAATGCGCGCGTATTGGGTTTAAATCAGTCAAGAGATTACAGCGCCAACGGTGTATGAAATATACTACCTTCGATTCTTGAACATAATCGATATTCAAAAGTTCTCAAGTTAAAACTATAAATCAATCGTTGTTAGATTTGTGTATGTATTGTGTATTTTTAAAATAAAACGTGCATTTTTGGCTTCAACTCAAGCTAAGATTTAATCAAGAGTATCAAAAAATTATCATTTTTTTTAGAACACCGTGTATCAGAGATACTACATGGCAGTCACCAAAACCTGATGAAAAAGATCTTCATTAATTACACATATGTAATTGATCCAGGTGAATACAGATGGAAGATAGAATCCAATGAAAATTTTGCACAAGTGAGTACGATTAATTTTGATGAAAATAAATTGCCAATTTAATAATTTTAAACAAAAAGGAAATATATAGCAAATATATAACATTTTGTCTTTCGTAATTTTTGTCAATTACGAAGGACATATTTTATATGAATCTGCTGTCAATAAATTTATTTTTAGACAAATAACTATATTTATTACTCTATTATGACAAATAACTATATTTATTACTCTATATAAGGAAATACCTAGAAGTATTATACACAGAA